GCCCGCGCGGCCGCATTCTGGACCATTTGAAGCCTCCGGGTGCTCCTTTGAGGGAGCCCCATGTAGAGAGCATTACAGTAGTCCAGGCGGGAGGTGACAAGAGCATGAGTGACTGTGCGTAAGGCGTCCCGCTTCTGGTCCTGCTCTACGTATGCCGAGGCCCTGATCAGTGGCTGAGCTGACTTCTTCTCCAGCTCTTCAGACAGGAAAACGTTCCACGTTGCAATTTCTGTTCCTCCAGGTCCAGAACTCTGGAGGGGTCAGCCCTTCAAGGTTCTCTGGACCGCACGGGAAGACTCAAACTGAGCTTTCATGAACCCTGCCAGCCTGATGGTGTTTCCCATCCCCTCCCCTTATGCGTGTGTGTGTGTGTGTGTGTGTGTGTGTGTGTGTGTGTGTGTGTGTGTAGGGAGGGAGGGAGGGGGGGAGGGGGGAGCCAGCCTGCCTCTCCTGCTAGGACTGCCTCCTTTTCCAGAATGCTATTTTCTGACCTTTTCCTGGTTTTGGGACAAAACAAAATGTTGGAAGCTGCCGCTGGCTGCTGCGTAGGACCCTCAAGGCTACCTCCAGGGCAGTTACCGTCTCCAGCTTTGGATCCTGCCGGCGCATCGCTTGTCCCTAGCCGCCCGGTGGAAGGAGGAACGCTCCTCCGGGACCGGTTCCAGCTGGAGGTGGCCGCCACTGATGGACCCTGCCCAGGAGTTTAATCTGTGGGTCTTTTTTACACCCCCCCCTTTAATTTCTTCCTTTTGGAGAGGGTTCAGCTCAAGTGCACTAGCCAGGATGTGGCTCTTGGCGCTGTTTCTTGGCTGGGCGGGAGCAAGGGAGGGGTGTGGGGGGGGGAAGCTCATGGCTGTTGCCATTTATTATTTTATTAGGCTTATCTGCTGCTCCAATCAAGACCAACACCGAATAGCTTACATACCGGAGTACAAGGGTTCAATTAACGCAAGAATAACATTAAGAAAAAACACCCTCCCCTGAGCCCGGAGGACCCAGTAAAGGGGGGAACCTGCTCAAGGGTCTCCTGAAGCACCCCAAAAGGGGTCCCCGGTGGGAGGGGCTGCCTTTTCAAAAGACCTGGCAGAAACCGCGATGCAGGGGCTCAGAGGGGTCGCCTGACCGGCAGACGTGGGCAGGAGCCCTTTGGATCTGAGCTTCGGGCTTAGCCTTAATCTGGGGGGAGGCCCACCAGGGGTGAAGAAGCCCCCCCCCACCGCCCCGAGATTTTAATATTGGAAGGGAGGACAGAACTAGCGAAGGGAAACTTTCCAAAAGGAGGAACAATCTCCAAGTGAGGAGTAATTTCCTGTCCCTGAGGGACAGTCCTGGACCCCTGCTTGAGCTGGGGGTTGGACTAGAAGACCTCCGAGGTCCCTTCCAGCTCTGTTATGCTGAGATTCTGTAAGGGTCTCCTCCTTGAGCTGGGGGCTGGACTAGAAGACCTCTGAGGTCCCTTTCAGCTCTAGTACGATTGCTTGAGCTGGGGGTTGGACTAGAAGACCTCCGAGGTCCCTTCCAGCTCTGTTATGCTGAGATTCTGTAAGGGTCTCCTCCTTGAACAGGGGGCTGGACTAGAAGACCTCCGAGGTCCCTTCCAGCTCTAGTACGATTGCTTGAGCTGGGGGTTGGACTAGAAGACCTCCGAGGTCCCTTCAGCTCTGTTATGCTGAGATTCTGTAAGGGTCTCCTCCTTGAACAGGGGGCTGGACTAGAAGACCTCCGAGGTCCCTTCCAGCTCTATTCGGATTGATCCCCTGCAGAGGGACAGTCTGCCTCTTGGGATTCTGGGTGCTCCGTCGGTGGACGTCTCCCAGGAAAGACAGAAGAGAGGCTTGTCTGGCACAGAGCGAGGGGGGCTCCCGTGTAGTGGGGAGACCCCCGGGGTCCCTCCCGACCCCTTGAGTCTGTGGCTCTGAGACAGCACCAACTCTTCCTGTGTCAGCTACCTCAACTTTTAATTATCTTCCATTAACCACATTCCGGCTCAGCCTAGCTAGACCGCATCGGCAAAGCAAGCCGAGTCCTGAATTTTTTTCCCCCGTGACGTCGTGCACCGCAAAATGCTTTTCCAGGCTCACCTGCAGGTCACCGGGACGCCCGTCTCAAGCGTCACGTTCAGGACGGTGAAATCCTTTCCGCCCAGCAGGGTGCCGGAGGAGGGCGAGATCTGCACGCAGAACATCCAGTAATCGGGGCAGCAGATTCCCAGGTTCTCGCAGGTGGCGCGACACGAGCAGCTGGCCAGGATCCCCCCACAGCGAGCCGAGCAAGAGGCTTGTTGGGCCCCTGGTTGGGAAACAGACACGGGGTGTGTGTGTGTGTGGGTGGGTGGGTGTAATTGCTCATACCCATATTTGCACCTCGGAGTAGCGGTTGTTTATTTCCGAGAAGCATTTCTAGGCATCGTCTCTGTTCTTCCTTGCAATATTCCCCTCCCGCTTTGACCCGGGATAATGTTCCCTGCCTTTGTTTTGACCCACCTCCAGGGAAGGTGGGAGCCTGCCCTTCTCTATGATCCCCCAGTCTGTGGCAGGAGGAATCCACTGCCAGACCATAATATCAGACCCAAATTGACCCTCCCTGTCTCCAGAGAAAGTCCTCCCCTTCCCCCAGGCCCACCTAAGAGCCAGGGGACGGAAGGCCTGCCCACCCACTCAAGGGAGCAGCAGCCAGGGGGATCCCCCCTCCCCAACTCTTTGGCCCGTGGCCTCCACAAGGGGCTTCCCCTCCTGAAAGGGCCCTTTGCCTACCCATAGAGATGACCCTCCCCCCAAATAGACAGACCAGGGCCCCCCAGCTCCCCCCAAAGTGGCCAGCCAATCAGATTCCTGGGGTCTCCACTTTGTAGCCCCGCTTCCCCTTTGGCACCCGAGGACCGTGGGGGAAAAAACGGGGCTCCCCTCCCAGGGTTGGGCGTCTTCCTTTGGCACGATCCCAAGACAACAGACGCAACATTTGCCCGGTCACGCTGAATCAAAGAGAAAGGACAGGTAAACAATACCCACACACGACAAACGGGTTTTGTTTGTTTTTTTTCCTTCCTCCCGTTCTCCCCCGCAAGTACAGGATCTGCTTTGTTCGGATCCACCGAGGGTGATCCCTTGGGCTGCAACGGGGACGGACCCACTGGCTCGCCACCCACGGCTGACATGCTGGGCGGAGGGCCCCCCCAACTGGCTTTCGTGCTTTGGGGGTGGGACTGGAACTCGCTCCCCGTAATTTGGCCTGGGTGGCTTTGCCATGCGGCCAAAAAAGCCGGTGCATGGAGCAGACCTTGGTGAGTCTGCTATACATTTTCAAGGGACGGAGAGGTTGTGTTCCCTTCTCTTGTGTTGGCACCTGGATTGGGCCAGCGCCCGGCCTGGTGCCCCCACTACCCAGGGGACCTTGGATGGATGCTTGTCTGAGCTCAGGTTTTGGGCCTTTCGTCTTTCCTGCGTCCCACGGAAAGTTTCCAGGGCGAATCCTCCCATCTTGTAGCCGGCACGTCCGTTCAGGTCCCTTCGGCAGCGGCAGGACAGCGACGGCTCCCTTGGAAATGGCGGGGAACGTTTGGAGGGGAGAAGGGGCGGGTGAAGCTGGCTCCTCTGGGGTGGCCGAGTGGGGTCTCTGGGCAGCCCCTTCAGCCCTGCCTCCCCTTGATCCGGGGCGCCCTTTCGGCCCACAGTGAAGGCCCCAACGTCCCTCAAGGCACCCCGGTCAAGGGTCCCTCCCGCGGCCTTTCTGCGACCATTCGGACATGGGTCTTCCCAGCTGTTCTCTCCCTTCTCGCCTGGGGTGGAGAAAGGGTGTGGGTGGGTGGGTGGGTGGGTGTGTTTGTTGTGTCGTGGGAAAGGCAAGAGCCACTTCTTTCTCTCTTTACCACCTGCACGTTCCACCTGCAGTTTCCATCCGAGGGGCCGGGGCCGATGCCTCTGCCTTCCTCCCACCCCCCGAGCCCCTCTCAAAATACTATTTCCCCTTCCCAAAGGAAGGTGGGAAAGGAGACCTACCTGCCTCGGGCAGCATCACAGCCCAGAGGAGGAGGAGGAGGAGGAGGAGGCGGCAGGAGGCGCCAGGAAGCTTCATGCCGGGCGGGCAGAGAGAGACGTTCCCTGCTGCGGCTGATCCCGAAGGAGGCAAAAGACTCGGTCCCCTCCCCGGGGGCAGGACTGGGAGCCTGGAACTGGGCTCAAAGTGTCACTGGGAAATGCTGACTTGGCACGCCGCAGCCTCCTCCTCCTCCTCCTCCTCCTCCAGGGGACCCACCCACCGCTGGCAGACCTGCCTCGCCCGTCCACCCACCGGATGCCAGGGCTCAACTGCAGCTGGATTTCCCTGCTGGATTTGCTCCGTCTTCTTCTTCTTCTTCTCCCTGGCTGGGCTTGGTTGGGAGGCCCGGCGTATCCGTTCCCTGTTAGGGTTGGCAGGGATCTGAGGGATCCCCCACTCTGGGCGATCTGCTCAGGGCGGAGATCTTTGACATGCCTGGAGAAAGGGGAGGCAGGTCCCGGCAGGTCAGGGTGCCATGGAGGCTCTGCCTAGGAGTGGAAGGAGCCTCTCCTCCTCCTCTGGCTGGGTCTTCCCCCCCCTCTCTTTTTTCTCTTTCTCTCTCTCTTTCTTTCTCTTACTTTCTCTCTCTTACTTTCTCTCTCTTTTTTTCTCTTTCTCTTTCTTTCTGTATCTCTTTCTTTCTTTCTGTAGCTTTCTCTCTCTCTTTCTCTCACTTTCTTTCTCTTTCTCTCTTTCCCTCTCCCTCTCTTTCTCTCTCTCCTCTCTCCTCTCCCTTTCTCTTTCTTTCTACCTCTTTTTTCTTTCTTTTTCTTTCTCTATTTCTCTTACTTTCTCTTTCTTTCTGTCTTTATCCTTTTCTACCTTTCTCACTCCTTTCCTCTTTCTCTTTCTTACTTTCTCTCTATTTCTGTCTCTCTACCTTCTTTCTCTCTCCTCTCTCCCTCCCTCTCTATCTCTCTCCTCTCCTTCTCTTTCTTTCTGTCTCTATCTCTTTCTACCTTTCTCTCTCTCCTTTCTCTTTCCTCTCCCTCCCTCTCCTCTTTCTCTCTGTCTCTCCTCTTTCTCTTTATCTTTCTCTCTCTCCTCTCTCCCTCTTTCTCTCTATCTCTCTTTCTACCTTTCTCTCCTCTCTTTCTCTTTCTTTCTCTTTCTCTCTCTTTCTGTCTCTCTCTTTCTACCTCTTTCGCTCGCTCTCTCTCTTTCTTACTTTCTCTCTCATTCTTTCTGTCTCTATTTCTCTTTCTCTCCTCTTTTTTCTCTCTCTCTCTTTCTCTTTCTTTCCCTTTCTTCTTTCTCTCTCTTCTTTCTCACTTTCTCTTTCTCTCTTTCTTTCTATCTCTCTACCTCTTTCTCTCTCTTTCTCTCCTTCTTTCTTTCTTTCTGTCTCTATCTCTTTCTACCTTTTCTCTCCCTCTCTCCCTCCCTCTCTACTCTCTTTCCTCCTCCTCTTTCTCTTTCTTTCTATCTCTTTCTACCTCTCTTTCTCTCTCTCCCTTTCCTCTCCCTCTCCCTCTTTCTTTCTCTCTCTCTCCTCTTTCTCTATCTCTTTCTCTCTCCCTCTCCCTCTCCCTCTCCCCGGCGTTTCCTTTTCTTGAGGAACTCAGCGCTGAAAGCCCGTCGCAGCGTGAAGACTTTGTAACGGGCTGAGCACAGAACATGGGATCCTGGGGCTGGAAGGAACCTCAGAGGCCTTCTAGTCCAACCCCCTGGTCAAGGCAGAAGACCTTATGCCATCCCGGTCCACCGGTGGTCAGGCAGTCTGTCTTCCCCCACCCCGTAAGGAACCCCCCCACCCCGCCGGGGGAACGCCCTCTTCTTCCGGGTCCGGTCCGGTCCGTGCCAGCGGCGCCCGAGGTCGGACTCCGGCACCGCCGCCCCACACCGACTCTCTCCCCCCCCATAGCAGCGCACCCGGCCAGTCACCGCCTTCCTTCCAGGGCGGGGGACGGCTCGGCTCGGCTCGGCTCGGCTCATCCCACCGGGGAAGCAAACGGGAGAATTCCGACTTGTAAAAATAAAATGAAAGGTCTTCCTGCGGTTTAGTTTAAAAAAAAAACACGACCCATTCCCATTTCATCATTGTGGAATGGAAGAGGGAGGGGGGTCCCTCTCCTCCTCCAGCCCTCGTGTCTCTCTGCCGATCACCAAGACGGTTCGGACTGCCAGTCAAGAGGGTTCGGACTGCCAATCACCAAGAGGGTTCGGACTGCCAGTCAAGAGGGTTCGGACTGCCAATCACCAAGAGGGTTCGGACTGCCAATCACCAAGAGGGTTCGGACTGCCAGTCAAGAGGGTTCGGACTGCCAATCAC